CCTTCAATAACCAATACCATCTGATTGGTTTTACGCTTCTATGATACCAATTGGTTGGTTATAAATTTTTCTGGCATCATGTCTTTTCCAGCATCATAATTGAATCCTTTAAAATACTGCATTCTATAGATGCTTCACCAAAGATGTGGCCATGAAACAGACATTTAAGCGAAAAAAAAAAGGAGAAAACAAACCTATGGCCACAAAAATGTTTCAAATGACTCAGTTTCACAAATGCAATTGAAGAAAATCCAGTCACTTCGATGGCGACTGGATTTGATTTGTAGTGAATTGAGATTTGGAGCTCCGACCAGTCTTTACTCCACGTGTTAAAAAGTCTATGACACGGTAAGAGCAAGGCATGCATGCGCATGGACATAGAACTAGCTAGAACTGAAAATCAAATAATCCAACACAGCAGTGGCACACTGGCAGCCATTTTGGACATAACCCTTCTTTTCTGTTACGCAAAATACCTATCTGGGAGTGGGAGAATGGCTTGGCACAACGCGTTTACATTTTCAACCAAGCATTAGTCTAGCTCCCTCGTCACACTACCTAAAAAAATGCTGCACATTTGCACTAGAGTTTCAGCAAACTAGCTTGGCGATTATAACAGGTCAATAGTGCAAAAATGGGGTTACAAGATTGTAAATGCAAGGAATGCAAAAATGCGGACATGATTGGTCAATGGGCAACTTTTCTTTTATTCTGATGTTATCCATATGAAACGCGCATATTTTTAGATCATTACAACCCTAGCTTTGCTGATACAGTTTTTCCAGTGTCCAATTCCGCACATTATTATGAAATGAATGAAATAACCTGTAATACTACTAGGAATTGATACTACATGTATTAAATCATTCTTCTTTGGTCCACCTACAAGGCTACAACTTCCCAAAGCACTAACCATCAAACCAGTTAGTGTAGTGAACCAAGGAACTCCATGTAACGGAAACAAAATACTGTACTTCTCTTTGAAGATAATCATACCCAAAAAAAAGCACGTGATCCACGGATTGCAAGTACCTAGCACTCCAAATATGTGCGGAGTTTCTTGTCACGACTGGACAAGTCAGTAAAATTCTCCCTTCAAATTCAGTCAAGCTTTACATTAGAATACAGGAGGGTGTCCCTTGTGAGAGGCATATTGAGAAGAAAGTGGATCTGCAGATAGAAAAAAAGTATACCACCAAACAATATAATTGTCAGCTTCTCAATCCTGTATGTGGTTTATAGACAATGATATGCATATTGGAAACAGAGAGGTATGATTATCAGAGGCATGTTGGAAACAGCCTCTCTGTATATGTGGGGCTAAGGTTGCGTACATCTATCCTCCCCAGACCACACATTGGTGGGAGCCTTGTGCACTGGGCTACCTTTAATTTCCAATCAGTAATATTTTCCAATTAGTAACAGATCAGTATAAATAATCTCTGTGGCATGTTCAGCAATCATTATGCATGCTTGTGAAAAATTTCCTGAGCTTAGAATGAATTGTGCTTGAAGGTTTCATGAATATCTCAATGCTAATTCTAAAGAAAATAAGAATGCATGACAGATAAAATCATTTCAAGAAAAAAAAAAAAAAACAAAGGCTGATTAGCATTGAAGGAAGGCCCAGGATATTTGACCCATGGGGTTTTGGACAGTTTGGGAGGAAAGAAATCAAAGAATCTTCTCTGAAAAAAAAAAAAGAAGTAAAGATATCATCATTGAAACAATAACTGTTAGGGTGATTCATTGGGTCAAGACAAAAAAGCTCTTTGAGGGGTTGTCAGCAGGAGATATCACTAAGAACTGGAAAGAAGTGGCATTTTCAGCTCCTATTAAAGCGGTTCCCAGTCCAGTTTGATCACCTCCGGATGTTGGCTTTACTAAACTGAATTTTGATGGTAACAGTGAAGGAAATCCGGGCCCTTCAGTTATAGGAGTATTCAGGGATGAGGAAGGAAAAATCACTGCTTTGTATTCGGGTCCTATTGGTAATGGGGATTCATTAAGAGAGAAAATCTTGGTGGTCTTGGAAGGGGTAAAAAGAAAACAGCTGAATATCAGAAAACTGATGAATTATCAATATATATATATATATATCAGAAAACTGATGGTGGAAGGTGATTCAATGTTAGTCATTGGCTGGCTGCAAAGGAAAGAGATTAGGTTTTGGAAGTTCTTAAATGAGAAAAAGAAATTTAAGCAGTTGACCCGGAACATGGAAATCAAGTTCCAGTGGATTAAGAGAAGTGCAAATTCATTTGCGGGTTCACTTTCCAAGCAAGGGGTGGGAAGAGTCGGTCTCTTTTGGGCAATTTTGTAACATGAATATGAATCTTAGTGAGGGTTAAGAGATTTTACCCCTCCCTCTTTCCTATTGTACTCTCTGTTGTTTTCTATTAATTATCCAAAAAAAAGTTTTGAGAAAGTGGAGATGTAGAGGAGTTTGACACTGAATCTGTTATATGTGGTTTTTTTTTTATGAGTTAAGTGGTTATTGGATATTTTTTTTTTTTTTTGACGAGTAAAGTGGTTATTGGAAAATTAGAGGTGGATTTAGGGAGAAAAAGGGATGCAAGTATCTTGAAGGAGCCAAAAAAGGTGATAAATCATTGGCGAATCTGAAAAAATAAGGTTTAAACAATGGCCAATTTATCATGCTACCAAGGTTTTCCAATTTCCATCAGCTCAAGGATGGTCTATTAGGGCTGGCTCTTGTAGCAAGTTTAAGAGGGTTCAAAAAAGGAATGGAGTGAAGGTCAAAAATAAAATTCAGAGCTCTACAAAATGGAGTAATTCTTCAGATTTGACAAAAAAAAAGAGGTGGAGGAACTGGAACTAAATATTGATGACCATAAGGAAATTGATTTTTTTAAGGGAGGAAGATCAGCTGGGGACTGAGTGTGAAAATGAGGAAGAGGTTGCAGAAGGGGAAGAGGAAAAGAAGGTGATTGTTGACAGAGGAAAATAGATAAAAATGTGGATTTGGAAAAGATAGTTGAAATTGAAGTTCAAGTTAGCAAATTGTTGGGGCTTTCTTCTATCAGAGGAGAAGAATTTGCAATAAAAACTTTTTTGGAACTGCAAAAGAAATTTTTTTTGGTGTGGAAAGTCCTAGTGCTGAGATTTGATTAGTAGTTGTTTGCATTTGGGTGTGTCTGTATTTCAGGGTGTAGGGAAGACACCTGGGTTTCTTGTGTTGGGTTTTGGGCCTTGGTTTAAGGTCTCTGGGATGGGAAAAGTTTATTTGCTAGGGGTTTGTGAAGGCTGCTGGGATATAGGTTTTGAGTTTTCTCTTTTTTCCTGTCAGTGATATCTTATCAACTATGTTGTAATTTCCTTTTATTACTTAATCAAAATTTACTTTTTTATTTATTACAAAAAAAGTAAGTTAAAGAACGAAACCGAATGTGTTTCTCACCCCAAGCAGAGTAGATATGAGGAGAATGATTCCTGTTATCCAAGCAAGGCTCCATCTAACCAACAGAACTTCTGCAGTAGTTGTCGAATTAGTTGAGCCTGCCACCTCCTCCATCCTCCGAAAAGAAGGCTGAGAAGTAAACTTCACATTCACCATTGAGGAAGACTCTTGGTAAAGGTCTCCAGAAAAGGTGAACACTCCAACAATTTCACCTGTCCAAGTGATACATACCACAAGATTTTGAGAACAAAAGAAAACCAAGTCATCATTTGAAAATTGAAAGCACAGGAAAAAACAGTCCATACAAAGAAATTCAACTAGGAACACTGTCATCAACAAAGGAATGCTAGCCATGTATGAGAAATAGGGAATCATATTAGGCTACAAAACCAGTTTCAGATGCACTTAGCGTCGATAAGGGAAGGTCAGCAAGACCTTCATTACATATGAGGATCAAAAGTTATATTCAGAAAAAATCTGTCCTTTTTATCAGAAAGGTCACATGCTCGACCCCTCTAATTTCTTTACAGATTGAGGACCAACAGAAAAATCTGGATCTGGTAGGCAGACTCGGTGAAAAATGTAAATTAGCCGAAAATTCTATTGATGTGGATTTTTCTTTGTGGGGGGAGGGTAAAACTACAGATTCAGATTTAAGTATATGTAGGAGGCCCCTAGTTGTCAAAGCAACACCTAGGCAACAGGGTGCCCATGGATGGTTGCCTTGCTTAATCAACTACCTATTTTGTACATGCTGCTATGAAACACTTTTATATTCTTTGTTTTGATATTACAATAATTAAATAGATATTTTTAATCTAGAAATTCATTTTGTGAAGCAAGGAAGAAGTTATATATATTTTATAACCTTTTCTTATTCTTCTTCGCATAAATATGTTGATTTTATGTTTTAATATGAAACTTATACTTTTTTTATGAAGTTAATTGATAATTATCAATAAAAGATGGTTGCTGGTTGATAATGGAACCTAGGGAATTCTAATGGTGAAACTGTGACATGTTGCAAAGGAAGTGACCTGGCTGGTGCCTCTCTCCAAATAGGTGTATCGTGTGTATTTCTAATGGTGAAACTGTTTACCATCTTTTCATATCCTGTCCCTTTGCTGAATGTATTTGGGAGAGAATTTTTGTGTTGTTTGGTTGCAGGTGGTCTACTCCAAGCAGTTTGGACAGGCTCTTCAATTCATCCACATTCAAGTGCCCAAGAAAAAGAGGGAAGATACTCTGGAAATGCACAAGGGCAGCAATGTTATGGATGATCTGGGAAGAAAGAACCTTCAGAATTTTCAAGGAAAAAAGGAATGCAGAAGCTGTGTTTCAAGGCATTGTGGTTAAAGTAATACATTGGGTCAAGACTATTACTGTATTTTCGGACTTTACTTTTGATGATATTATCAGAAATTGGGGGGTGATTGCAGCTACCTCTTCCTCCAAGAAAAAATGGATTTTCTCAAACTGAACTTTGATGGCAGCAATCTTGGCAATCCAGGTCCATCAGGGATAGGCTGGGTGTTAAGAAATGGGAGGGGAGAAAATCTGACTTTGTTCTCAGGACCAACTGGGGAAGGAAACTCCACGAGAGCAGAGCTGAAAGCTGTGATGTTTGGCATACAGAGTTGTGGAGTTAGGTTTTCAAAAGCTGATAATTGAAGGTGATTCTAAGCTAGCTAAGAAAAGAAGAACAGCACCCATGGTGGTTCAGAAATGAGATCAAAAAATTTAGAAAATGTCAAAAGACATGCAGCTATTATTTCATTGGGTTCCAAGGTCAGCCAACAATCTAGCTGATCAGTTAGCAAAACAAGGTGTATACAGAGATCAAGTTTTTTGGGCACAGCTGTAACATTGAAGAAAAAGCCACTGGGGTTTTTTCTTTTTCTGTTGTAAGGGGTAGCCGAGGCTACCCCTTGATGTAAAGACACCTTTCTTTTATTAATAAATTTGCTCTGTTTTACTGATAAAAAAAATGGAACCTAGGGAATTACCCTAGGATTCATGGTTTCCATGTAAAAACTCCATCGCCTAGGTGATGCCTGGGACTAGGCAGCAAGGTGCCCCCCCCCCAATCACCTAGCTTCACCTTGGCGCCTTGGGAACCATGCCAAAGGCCTTCCTTGGTACATTTTTGCCATTAATACAATACAATTGATACAAGAAAAGGGGTTGAACACCTTAAATGTGATACAATTTCTTGCGAAGCCATTTCCACAATACCACCCAAATTTTCTATCATTGATAAATATACATTTTCTACATTTTCTTGGAGGGGGCAGTGGAATTAAAATTTGTGAAAATATGGGTGGGCAAAGAACCCAAGTGCCAGATTCCATTAGCTTTATGGAATTTCTCCCTTTAGAAACTTTCCCTTCAATGTGACCTATCCCAAGTCAAGGTTAGCTTAGGATTTTGGCTTTGTGAAGGTAGGATTCAATCAAGCCTATAACAAGCACAGTAGCAGGCACCTCTGCCAGAGGCCTATAACAATCTCATGTCTCACATCTTCTTGGCATATCATTAATGTATGTCAGTAACATGCAAACCCTAAAAATGTCTATATTTTGCTCTCTAAATCTGATCTTAGATTTTGGAATGTTGTAACTTGTATGATCACAAGGGAAAATGTTATCATATATTGGTCTATTGCAGTGCTGTAACACAGAATTGATTCTTGGAACTACCTTCTGATTAGGAGTGTCCATTTAATATCATTGATGTGCAACAGAATTCGGATTTTTTCACTGTTTTAACGGAAAATATTATGGGGATCTTAGATCCTTTCATCTCTATGGTGCATTCATGAATCAGAAGACAAGAAACAAGGCTACTTCCAAGACAAAGTCCAGTATGCACAGTTGAAATTTTCTCTCTTTTTTTTTTATCAGCAACTCAGAATTTTATTAAAACTTAAAGAAAAAGAGATTACAACAAGAAGCTGTTAAGAAAAAAAAAAACTTTTACAACCAAAAAAACCCACCACCCTCTTAACATTGAGCCCAAAACAAATGATGTCTATATACTCCTTGCTTAGCTAATCCATGGACCAACCCATTAGTGGACCTCCTAACTCATCTTACATGAATTAGCAATTGTCTTGACAGCAACTTGAACTGCCTGATTTCATTTCTGAATTGCCATAATACCCCTTCTTTTTTTCAACCAACCAATGACTATTTTTGAGTCCCCTTCTACAATCAGCCTTGTGATGCACAGTTGCAATTTTCAAGAGAAAAAATAATGGCATCTTGCTTTTTGAGTGTAGTAGCGGCTTCAAAGGTATCCCAATTAACATGATCATCAGAAATGGGCATTTAATTGCCAGCTCCTCTCTGTTTTGCTATCTCTAGATGGTTTGTTCCTCTTTTTCTATTTATTTTTTAAGTTTTTGATAGTATAAACTAAACCTTGATGATGGGGAACTCCAGGCTCACCAGGCACTAGGGGACTACTAGAGACAACGATCAGAACTATCTGGCTCAGCTTTTCAGGTCCAATTTAGGTTGGAAATTCAGGGAGAGGTTCCTGGCTCTCCTTCAAGGGGATCTGAAAGGAGGCCAACTTAATAATTGATGATCTTCCTTAAAACAGGATTAGTAGAGAAAGAACTTTTCTTTATTTGAGGGACTTCGTTTATTGCCAACATAGTTTTGGTTTACCCCTGGTGCCCCAGTGTGGAGGAAAGGAGTTTATATTCATGTATCATCTTATTTTCATTTTTTTGTCACTAACCCAGAGAAAAAGGGAAATTTGTGCTGATACAATATAGAATTAAGTGATGAATTATCTAGGACCATAAAATGCATTTGACCTTTGTATGCTGTCCATAACGAATCAACTATCTTGCTTAGAGTGGTCATAAACAGCTCCAATCCTTGCTGAGTAATGTCATCAGGTCCATATTGTTCTTGCAAAACCTGAACCATATCAAATAGACTTGGTATATGACGGGTATATAATAAGTAAAATGGAAAGATTAACATGGAAAATATGAATAGAATAAAATAGATAAGTACAAAAGTTACCTAGACAACAAGCATTTGAACATTGATGGTCATGTGCTCTACTAAGGTTACAAACAAGTTATGTATCTGACACTACCTTTCCAACAATTTGGGTTGCATTTGGCATGCTTTGAGAGAACGGGTTCTCGAAATTTTTGTGATTCTAAGAATCAATTAAGTTTGGATATGTGATAATCATTAGAACCGATTCTTTTTTGTTCTCCATCTAAAAACTCATTCTCAGGAAGTAATTATGTGGAGCTAATAAGTTCAACCTTGAAATAAACCCTTCAAGCAATGATCCTGCAGAGTAGTTTAACCAAATGTAGATTGATCTTCTTAACTTTATCAGCTAGTGGAATAAAACATATCCATTTCAAAACAGAACATGGAACAGAACATGAAGGATGGGCTGGAAAATATCATTCATAATGGCCTAGAAGGTGGATGGCCGTCATGGATCCTAAGGGCTATCGTATGCACATCTTCTGGGTGAACCCTAATTTTTTTTTTGATCAATAATTACAGCTAGTTATTTAAAAAAGATGGTTGTCCGAATGGGCTAGGGTGAACCCTAATTTGATGATAGCCCAATCAGAGATCCATCTTGGAGAAATACCCGGCACCCCCAAGTTCATCCAATAACTTGCCAAGCCCAGGGGCTGCGTTATGAGGGTCGCTTTGTACATTTCCAGATCATTGTTTTTGCTTAACTGTTTAATGTGTACTCAGTCATTTGCTCTGGATCCATCCACCCCACCCAAATCTTGATATTCAGAGGGTAGAGAGTTTACAGTTTTTAATTAATAAATATCTTTTCATTGTTAACAATCTAAAAAAAGATATGCATAGAACATACTACTCCCCCAAGTCTTTGCCATTGGATAGAACTTGAGGCATGAACATGAATGTCATTTGTAACACAAAAAAAAAAAAAAAAAAAACAGAGTTGTATAAAAACTAATCCCCTCAAAGTGGTATTCTAAAATATTCCATCAATCTTCCATCCTGCTGCATGGTGGAACTCTTAAGTACTTCTCTTTGCCTACTTACTTAGCAAAGGTTTTTCCCTCCCTTAAGTCTTCTTTCAGTAGTTTCATTCAGTTTTCAAAAAATATACTAGTTATGGAACATCATGTAAGGAAGGAAGGGATGGAGAAGGGGAGAAAAAATATCATCACCTTAATGCCAGTGAAACAGCCTATGATTAATTCTGCCGGACTTTGCATACTACCAGAGGAATCTTCATGCATTTCCATTGCCCGTCTTATATTGTGCATCATTGAAAGAAGACTCATGACAAACTCCCTATCTGCATTCTGCATAATAGAATGCAAAGCTACTATTAAAGCCTCAAAAAAAAAATAATCAGAAAAAGTAGTGTGAGCCTATATGCATTTGTTTTTGTCAATGAAAACTGGATGCTTATTAACAAAGGGCAAGGACTCAAAGCCTGAAGAAGACCTTTGACATATGCAGTTTCATAGAAGAACCACTGATCAAAGGGACACTCAGCTCCCCATTGAATGTTCCTAAGGCACTAGAAACATATGATCCACCCAACCAGGATGCCTGAACAAACAAAATAAATCCATGGTCAACATATGAACATGATAAAAGGAGAATGAAGATGTTAATAATGTAAACATCAAAAAGAAATAGTGAGAAAAATATAACTAACAAGATCATGGAGTTCTTTGTGAGTACAATCAACATCACAGTCAAAGCCTAAGGGTTCATCTAGGTAGACCACAGAGATGCCATCTTCATCTGCACAAATCATCAACAAAGTTTGGTATTTGGAGTGTAAACGTATTGATGCAATAAGTGGCCATATCTCATAATTTAAGCCTGAGAAGAAGACATGTTTAAGAGAGTTAAAATACCTTGAAGTTGGATATCAGCTTTACTTGAATCAAGAAGAACCTTGCTCTTAAAAGCACCACCAATGTGGCCCTTGCCTAGTTGGTCAACCAGTAGCTGTGGATCTGCATTAATAGAATATTTCATCAATTATTCACTAAGTCTAAGAAATTGAGGGGGATGGATCAAGATGCATTTTATGGATCAAATTCAGCAACCTTCTATTCCTTTGACTTCCAGCATCAATACGGCATGAGGCCTATCAAATGGGTTAGGCAGCAGAACCTCATTCAACTGCAGATACAGAAGGCATTAGTAAGAACCAAAAGCTTCCATAGCAAAGAGGATAGCCTACTCAAAAAGTAAAGAAAAGAAACTTCGAATGAGTAATAACCCATAAGACCTTGTATGAACTATCTGCTGAAAGAGAAGCAGGTGGTGCAAAACCAAGCAAAACTGCCACGGCAGCAGCAACATCAGAGAGAAACATCGAGTCGGTCTATGGCAACAAGAACAAAATCCTTCAATCAGTTGTCTGTCGATTACAAAGCATAGTTTGCAAAATCATTCAAATGCACGGAAAAAATCTATTGCCAATTTAATAATTATGAGCAAGCAAGCCGTCGTCAAGATTGAGAAACCAAACATGGCTCTATCATGCTAAATGATGAATAATTAATCAAAAAGATAGAGAAAGAAAACAAAAATCGGTTCAGTCAGTCAGAATAAGTAAGTTCCGATCCTCAACCAATCCACCTGAACCTATCAAAACCTAGAGCTTCAGCTTCGGCGGCGAAGACGATATAAAGTTCAGGAGAACCCAAAATTTGTTTATCTCGAATACCTCGGCGACAAAGCAAACAAAATAAATAAATAAACTACCTCATAGGCGACATCTGTTGAACGAGAACGAAGAAACTGATGACCAGGGCTATCGAGGAATAAGATCGAACCAGTCCTGCTCTCGGCCTAGATAGAAAAACAGCAAAAACAAACGAGAGCATTGGCAGATCTATATCAATTTCGCGAATAATTACGAAGACTGATGAATGAAATTGCAGCGATTCCCATCAAAGGTAAGAGAATAATTTGGTTAAAAAGGAACTGAGTACAAACCCTAATCTGCAGGCAGAGCAAGAACATTAGAACCAGTACACGGAGGTCCATTGCAGCAGGAGGATGAGAATCTTCTCAGCAATTCCGCAACAATTTCCGATCCTTCTCGTTTGAGAGACAAAATATACACTTTCCGGGACGGAGGACCATTAGATAGGGAGAAATGCTCGTAAGCAACGAGTTCATGCAACTTTCATGATTTCGCCCTCAGGACAAAGTTGGGCATGTGTTTTCGTTGGTCCCACATTTTTCTCCGGGGCGAAGTCGTATGAGAATTGCACATGAGGACCATTAGATATGGAGAAATGCTCGTAAACAACAATTTCATGCAACTTTCATGATATCACCTTCAGGAGTCGGGAGCCGGGACGAAGTTGGGCATGTCCTTTTATGGGTCCCACATTTGTCTCAGTGGCGAAGTATTATAACAGTAGGGGTACTCCAGTCCACGGTTAATCGAACCGGTGATACCGGTTTTTGGAAAATCAGTAATCGAAATCAATATGTTAATCGATTGATCAATTTGGTTAATTGTCAGTTTTTTTATTATTTTTATTTTTATAATATAAATAATAAAATATTATATTTTAAATAATAAATAATATATGATATATTATAAACAACGTTTTTCAACCATCATTGACCCGGATGGTCGGACTGTTCAGCCCAGAAACCGTCCAGGCAACCGGTTCCGTTTTATCCCAAACCTGGAATCTGGTAAAAAACCGTTGAAACAAACTGTTGACCTAGGCGGTCGAACCATCGACTTATTCAACGGTTTTGACTGTTTTTTATTTTTTATTATTTTATTATTTTTTAATTTTGCTATCAAAACGGGCCATCCGTTTGAACCGGATGGTTGGACCGTTGACTCAAAAACCAGTGGCTAGAACGGTTCCGTTTCCAGGTCATTTTTTAAAACGTTGATTATATATAATGTATATTTATTAATTTATAATAAAAATATATAAAAATATATGTATATTGATCGATTCGACTAACCATCGGTTTTCTATATTGGTTAATCAAAACTGAACCAGTACCTTCAATTTTTTTTTAAAAGCATCGAATCAATCAGTTCAATTAATCAAAATTTTAATTCGATTTTGGTCAATTCAACTTTTCAATTTACCCTTATACACAAAGCTTGGCGAAGTAGTACAACAGTTACACATGTATGGCTGCATTGTTATGTGGATAGATGTGGACAGATGTGGGCAGAGTTCTTATGGGCAAGAGATTCTACTCGATATTGGTAGAGGTGTATTAATATTTATACGATTTTTACTTTTAATTTTTATAATTTAATTTTATATTTAGTACTTGTAAATTCATGTATCAAATCCAAAGATACAATTTATCACATATAGATATGAGGGGTATGCATATCGATGCTTTAAATAACCTTAATTAGAAACACTATAGTTTGCAGCCACTATATTTATCACATACTTTATGAGTACTTTACCCTAGCATAGTGTCCCTTTGGCCAAATTTAATCAAAAGAAAAAAAAAAAGAAAAAAAACAAATGTTGATTTTGCTCCATAGGTTTTGCTTCTAAATGGATGAGATGAGAGTTACTATTAATATTTATTTTTAAACTAAAAAAATCCTGAGTCCATGCTGTTTCACATTTATTACCGCTCAAATGATCATTACCAATTGAAAGTACAAATATTGTAAACTATAGTGGGTGTCTTATTAATAAGATAGTGAATATATGAAACTAAGTAGGATGAGCTTTGTTTTTAATTAGTTAATATATATATATATATATATATTAAAATGTAATATGCTAAGTTGCCACTTTCTTACTTTATGGTTTATTCTAAAAGTCACTTATCTCTTTTTTGGTTTCTTCCCAAAAGCACGTATTTTTTTTTTATTTTTTTTTTTTTAAATTTTAAAATTTAACAAAGTAACCCAAGTGACTAATCACCTTTAAGAGTTTTAACACTCCTCATTAAAATATCATATATATATAATAGATATCCATTTCAATTTAACTATATATATATATTTGCATTAAACTATAATTATCAATAAGATTGATATATTAATGCACTAAATAACCTACTTCCATATTAAAATAATAATCCATTTGTATTTCATTAGAAAAATAATAAAAATAATTAAGTTACTTAAATAAAATAAAAAATTAATTATTGTTATTGATAAAAATATTTTTATTAATATAATAAAAAAATTAAGTTTTAGACATAGTTGAATTATTTTAAAATCAATTTAAATTTCATTTAAAAATAAGGTAAATTATAAAAACCTCCTTGGGTTTTCTAACAATCCTATGAAACTCTCCAGTGTTTTGGCCTTAACAAAAACCTCCCCTATTATTTTGAAAAAAGGTGCAAATACCTTCTTTTAGTTAACATCCCAAATAAAAAATGTTGATGTAATGCATTAGTTTTACTTCACTTAAGCCTTTTTGCATTTGTGGAAGAAGAGTAAGGAGAATTAATCTTTGAAAGTTGAAACTTTAAATTATGTATGATAATGCATTAGCAATGATAAGGGTATTTTGATAACTTTAATGTCTTTGTTACCGAAGAGTCAAGGGAAAGGAGGTAGTTGCACTTTTTTTCTCAAAACTATAGGGGAAGCCTTTGTTAGGGTCAAAACACAAATGTGGTTTATAGAATTGTTATAAGAGGATTTTTTATAATTTTACCTGAAAATAATAATAAACCAATAAAAATTAATAAAATAATTTCCAAAAAAATAATAAAAATTAGCATGAAGATACAAAAAACATAATACAAATTTATCTAGAGAATAGGAAATTAGCCACTCCCACTAAAGTGCAACTTAGATTGTGATCGGATAAATTAGACAACCCCAAAAAATAATACTTGAATTGAACTTAGATGAACACTATTTAATTGTAAATCTCATAGAGTTCCATCTTCAATTTTGTTGATAAATAAAACCCATGCATCCCACTGGTCCTAACTAATACATCCTTGAAAGTTAATTCCTTGTGGTGTGGCACTAGCACCGCTAGGCGCTAGTATTTGGGATGACTTCATTTCAATGATGGTCCAACATGAGATAAAATCTATATCTATATAATAAAGAGGAAAAAGGAGAGGTGAGGGATCTTCCACCATAAGCCTCGGATTTTCTTGGTTTATCTTCTTCACCACAAAATGCTTATAAGAATTGATGAGAACAACTTGGGGTCTGATCTAGGCATTGAAAATACTATTACTTATATCGTGATCCATAAATCTAACCCTCATTACTCTCATCTGCACCTAAATTACCCATAGACAAGTGAATTGGATAGAAAGAGAACATATTAATTTGTCAAATTTAGTCCGTAGAGTTTATTTAAATTTAGAGGAAGTTGTTACTCATTATTAACTTATTTAACTTTTTTGTTTCCCTCATCTGTATAGATAGGTTTCTCCTGCATGCTTTGGTGGGTTTTCTTATGCTGCAAGTGGATGGGCTGAAGCTCTTTCATATATTTTTCCTGATAAAGTGACTTCATATAGTGTTGTTTCAATTGCAGGAGTGTATGTAGAATGTGTTTTGTTTGGTTTTGGTTAATTATTGCTGGTACACAAATAAGTGCTTAAGTTTGAGCCTAGAGTTGAGTTTTTCATGAAATGATGAATTGTGCTTCCAACTTTGAACTACATATTTTGTAGTATATTTTCTTTTATGCTTATTTGTTCTGGGAGAAATGGATGAAAGGTATATGTAGTAAAGTAGGTGTGCTTTACCTTGGTGTTTTCATTTTGACATTTAAAAATGGATTTCTTATCTTTTAAGTTATTTAATTGGTTGGCTATTGGACGAAGATAAGAAGTCCACTCGCGAGAGTCCCGGCTTGAAAGTCTTTATCCTAATCTGTATCTGTACTAATATTTCTTTATGGATTAGGAATTTCGTTTTAGAAAGTTTTGGGGAGCAAGGAACTCCACTGCCGTATGTATATTGATGGAGGGTGATTTGGCCCGACCTTGTAGCATGGGGACACGTGGACATGACCTGGCACAAGTGACAACTCAGTGTGACAGTCTGACCATAACTCGGCATAACAAACTCGCCGGAGCCCGGTCGGACAACTCGGTGGATGTGGCAACTCACCGGGAAGTAACACCCAGCTTACCCTGAATTCTCTCTAAGGGTGGAGCACTCTGAGCTCCCTCCAAGCAAGGAGTCCCGAGCTTTGAAGAAGACCCGAGATACTCCCAATGAGCCCCATGCTCTTCCTTCCTGAGAAGGGAACACCCCGACCTGCAGCTAGGTTTCCCAAAGTGGAAACACTTCAGGTCAGCACCATTAACACTCTTGTCCATACTTGCCTAAGGCCCGCTTCAAGCGTAAGCACCTCAGCGCACCCCCAGCACCTCGGTGTAAGGTAGCTCGGTAAAAAGTAGTTTGACAACCTGCAGGAAAGATCTTCCTGACAACAATACCTGCCGAACTTGGAGGTTGCACCCACGTCCCTCATCAAGCGGCGTCGTGCCTACCATTTCTGAAAGATGTGGCATGCCTGACAGGTCCGTACCCTGTAATGGCTGCCTGCACCCGCCACCTCAGCTTTGGCAGTAACGGCTGCGGCAGAGGCGGTTACGCCTGATTTGACAGAACTCCAATATAAAAGGACCTCGATCCCCAAGGAGCAAAGGTATTGAACTTACGCAATCTGCACTCTTAGCTCTCTCTTTGCATTCTCTACAGTTCTCTTAGAGTTCTAACTTAAGCAACGGAGTGTTCCCGCCGGGCAAGCTCCCCAGGAATTCTTCACCTCCCTCTTCTTCTCAGGTACCGTCCGTCGCCAGCTAGGAGCCAGGCTTCCGCCAGCTAGGAGTGTCCGAATCGCGCCGCATCATTTGGCACCATCTGTGGGAATGCTTCAAAAAGTCTTCCTCCAATCTCTGCAACTCTCAAAACTCAGCATCCGTGGCTTCCTCCAGCAATGCCGAATGAGGTGTCGACCAAAACGCCTCTGAAGAGCAACCTCAGCTTTCCACTGTCTGCATTGGACAGTTCACCGTCCTCCTCTCTGTGGACGGAGTTCCCAGCCTGAATGTGCCTCAGACAGTGGCACCTGTGAACGCTCCACTTCCTTCCACGATTGAAACAACCTTCGCTAAACCCTCTATCGTTCCTCCGGTGACCAGCCAAAACTAGCTTGAAGACTTGGTGCAATGCATGCGAGCTATGCAAGCTCAGATGCAACAGTTCCAGTAGTTTCAACTCTATCAGCAGTAAGTGTTGCATCA